AAACTCTGAGCATAGACAACTTTCTATCCCTCAGCTCTGCATCTGTCTATAGATCAATGCCAAATGATTATCCAGATCAGTGGTGTCAAACTCAAAAATGGACGCCACTAAACTATAATACATAAGGATCCCTGCAGGCCACATAATAACTTAGAAATCCATGTGTGTGTGTGTGTGTGTGTGTGTGTGTGTGTGTGTGTGTTTTATTAATACATCAACACATTAAAATCAGATTGGAACTACATTTTAATCTGGCTCAGGTTTCACTCAGGAGTGTTGTGGGATGTGTGTAGGCCATGTTTGACACTCCTGATCTAGTGGGTGTGAATTATTTACCCAATTAGAATAGTTCTGAACTGCCACCTAATGGCAACTTTCATTTCTTCTTTGACTAGATATATTTCCATAAGCCCTAGTTATATGATCTTGGTATAATGGAGCGAACTTCCTGCAAAAAAACAGCAATGCTTGCAGCATTACAATAGAAAAGATAAAAGCAATGAACAATACAAAATAAATCCCACAGTCCCTCCAAGATCCCCAATAGTCTCAAATGGCACATAACCCTATCCAAACCAAGGAGATATCATCATCATCTCATCATCATCATCATCATCATCATCATCACCATTGCCACCACCACCACCATCATCGTCATCATCAACAATACTAAGTTAACATTTGTATGATACTTTAAGGTTTACAAAACACTTTTACACATATTACACATATCATTTGATCTTCACAATAGTTCTGTGAAGTAGGTGCTGTTATTTTATAGATGAGGAAACTCAGGTTGGCAGAGATTAAGTGATTTCCCCAAAATCTTACAACTTATAAATATCTGAGGTTGGATTTGAGCTCATGTCTTTCTGACACCAAGTCCAACACTTAATCTACCATACCACCTCTTTTAGGTTGGCTGTCCATGGCAGTATCCTTTCAAATGGACAAAGAAGTGTAGACAATATAACAAAGTCCCTACTCAGTGTTCCACTCGTATCTAGCAGGACCAGTCATCAGAAGACACAAAGACTCTGAAGGAATTCTGGACTCAGCAATCATGACAAGGGGGTTGTATTTGGGATCCAGGTGGCAGAAGAAAACAGAAGTGGTCAGTGATTTCCTTGGTCTCAGCCAGACCTGTCACTGGCAGGAACTTCTGACCTTATCTTACCATACTTAGCTCATCATTCCTGGAGTAGTTTGAATGGACCCAGAAGCCTGCCCTGATAAAGAGAAACCTGCTGCCACCATGTTACTCTGATGTCTCTCTCCAACTTTCTCTCTCTCCCAGCCCTCCTATGCCATAGCTGGGTCATGGTATCATGTAACTCCTCTAGGTCTCAGTTTCCCCACCTGCAAAATGAAAGTGTTATATTCCATGATCTCTAAGGTTCCTTCCAGTTCTAAATCTAAATCACATCACTTCTTTCATTCCTCAATAAACAGTCAAATTTGGTTGTTCTTGTAACCTCTCCCAACACTGAAGTGAAATAGGGAGCGTGGGTGGAGTAAGTTCATTCTATCTTATAGCCATTTGTGTACTTGACTCATCTCCCTGCTAGATTGCAAACTCCTTGAGGGCTGGGACTATGGACTATTTTATCTTTGTATTTCAAGTTTTCCAGCTAAAAGTCTTTTATTTAATAGGTGGTCATTATTAGTAGCAATAACAATAGTATATTGGTGTGGTTTGCCATTTTCTTCTCCAGCTCATTTTACATATAAGGAAACAGGCAAACAGGGTTCAGTGACTTGCCCAGGGTCACACAGCTATTAAGTGTCTGAGGCCAAATTTGAACTCAGGAAGATGAGTCTTTCTGACTTTAGGTCCAGTGCTCTATCCACTGTGCTATCCAGATGCTCCATTCAATTCCTTAAGGTTTGAAATTATTTTTAAGACTTTATCTCACTAAAGTCCTTGTTTAACTACACTGAGACAGTTCATTCCCTTTTACCCTTTGACTGTCTTCATTCTTCTCCTACCACTGCAACCTTACTTCTTGCCCACTCCCTTGCCCCAAACTCTGGCCATTCCTGAAGGTTCAGTCCTCCATCCTTGGGATCTTCCTTCTGCCCTTTCTCCCTCCATACTTATCCATTCTCATGACTTCAATCATCAATAAATATTTGGTGGCTAGAGGAAGGATAACTCCCTCTATTCTATGACTGCCATATTATTAACTTTAGAGCTAAAAAGAAATCTCAGAGAATGTCTAGTCCAGCAATGCTTCATTTTATAAATGAGGAAACTGAGGCAATAGACTGGCCCAAGGTCAACTAGATGGGAAGTAGCAGAAGGATTTTATATCGTTCTGATGCTAAATCCTGGCTTCTTTTCACAATATCACTCTACTTCTCTGTCTCTACACCCAAACTTGAATCCCTTATCTCTAATATGTACCAGAACATTTCAATTCTCTTACATTTTCCAGGTGTAAATAAGAAAAGTGCCAGGTTGATATGACAGACAGTGTGAGGCAGCAGAAAGAGCTTTGAGGACCTGGGTGTGGATTCTATCCCTGCTATTCATTACCTATGTGGCCTTAAGCAAGTTATGTAACTCCTCTGGGCTTCAGTTTCCCCATCTGTAAAATGAGGAAATTATATGAGATGACCTCAAAGGTTCTTTCCATCTCTAAATCTAAAGTTACGATCCTATGAATAGCAACATTCCCTCACACTCCAACCTCCAAGACCAAGGAAAATTTAAAGATGGATGACTTAAGGCACATTTGAGTTACCTGGAATGTCCCTAGAAGGTGATCCCAGAGGAAGGGACACCTAAGCTGAAGTTCCCCAGATCGGGAGATGGTCCCTGTGGAGATGGGTTTTACTTGTCATATATATAGGAGTTGATTTCTGAGGTTCTCCCAGAGTTGGAGGCAGGAAAAGAAAGACAGAGACAGAGAGAAAAGAGAAGAGAATAAGGAGGGGGGCGGCAGGGAAGGAGGGAGGCAGACAGATAGTAAGATAAGGCAAAAGCTATGAGAACCCAAGGACTCTGGGATGGAGTCTAGGTTAATGGTTGGGAAGTGATAGTCCAAGTAGTAGTGGCAAGACTACTGAAATGGGTCAGGAAATAAGGTGAAGGGAAGTTCCCAGGATGAAGGGAAGAAGGTGAGGTAAGTTCCCAGGATGAAGGGAAGGAGACAATACTATGAAGGGTTGCTGAGGTCTCTGCTCCACATAGATCCCTAGAGGCACCAAAGGACTTCTGGGAGCTGAAGTCAAAGAGATCATTGATCTGAGTAGAGCCCCGAGTGCTTTATCAGTAGAACAAAGAGTGTACTGAAAAGCCTTGGGGCCAGAGAAAGTTGGATTGTCAATGGAAGAGTCTGAATCAGAATGGAAAGTGGATGCCCACCTGTCCTCTTCCATAATGGAAGGTACTCCCTAGTCTGAGATTCTGTGATTCCACCAGGACAGACAACATTTGGAGCTAGTGGTATCCTGAGCTATGGCTACACAAGGCAGACTTGGCATGATGACAGAGCTCCCTCACTCCCATTTCCAATCCCCCCTCAACTCTTCCTCTCTTTCTCAGAGTGCATGGGAGTGGGGGAGCTATAGAGACCAAGAAGATTTCCAGAGTCATCCTCCCAAAACATAGCAACAGTCATGTCCCTCCTCTGCTCCAACACATTGAGTCCTGTTGTTTTAAAAAGAGGTAGGATGAATGATCAGCACTGGAAAATACCTTAGAGATCTAGTCCAGCCCCTTTGTATATGGGGAAACTGAAGCCCAGAGAGGAAAATGATTTACCAGCCAGTAACAGAGAACATCTAAGGTATCCTGACTCCAAGGCCAGTGTTTTGGGGTTTGAGAGTTTCCTCCCAGCCAATACTACAAATCAGAACATCTATACCTAATTTCCCAGGCCCTTCATAAACCTACTCCACCCCACCTACCTGACTTCATTTCCCAACATCCTCTTGTCTATTCCAGTTGGGCGGGTTGATTTTGTTGTCTTAAGAATACACAATGGGAAGCTGATTACCATTCCAATCAGACCATGTCACTTTTGGTTAGCTCTACTCATTAGGATATTTTCTTTATAATGAACTGCTCCTACTTCTGACCTCTTAGGCTAAACCAAATAAATCTAAACCCTTAAAATACTTGAGGGTAATTATGTCCCCCACAAAGTTTTGACTTCTCCAGGCTAAACACCCCAGTTCATTAATTATATTGAGTCATCTCATTATCTTGGTTGCCCTTCTTTGGATGTGTGCTGGCTTATCAATGGCCTCACTCAAAAATGGTCCCCAAAACCTCAAAGGTTGGGAAGAATTTCATCAAGTGGAAAGGGGGTGGGGACAATGTTGTTGGGGTATGAAGGATAAAGTAGTGGAAAGAAGAAGTTGGGGGAGAGGCAGATCAAAAAGAAGGGAGTTTTGCTCAGGGATAGATATGATGATGATACTAAATGGTGGGGGTAAAGCATAACTATTTAACTCCTCTGTGATTCTGGATAAGATTGATGAGAAATGTGAGGCAAGGGTGGGGTGGTGAAGATGATGGTGAGAATAAATATACACAGGATCAGGATGTGAGGGGGAGAGTAGATGTTAGGAGTGAGGCTGAGGATGAGGAGCCTGGGGGGTGAGGATAGGGAAGCTGAAAGGGGGGATGGTAGAAAGGTGGAGGATGGGAAAGGTGGAGAGAATAAGGTGAGGGGAGGCTGAGCAGATGGTGGAGAAAGTTCTGCATACAAGAGACACTTAATAAATGTGTGTTAAATTTAAATGTTGAAGACCAGACTGATGGAAGGCTGAGCATGCTCTTGAGAAGGTTGTCGGTGAACTGTTGAGGTTCACAATTCCTGACCTCCGTGTTCCTGGTGCTGCCAGTCTCCCCTCAGGCAGTAGGTCCTAGCTGAGCCTTGTTTGGGTGGCAACCAGGGCCTGCATGCTTTGGTATTTGGCCAAGTTTCCTTACGCAGATCTACGTGAAAGGAGGTTCCTTTTCTCTGCACCAGTTCAAAAGGAAGACGGGAAGAGCGTTCAAGTCACTGGAAGTCAAGGTGACAGCCAGCCTGACATAGACGGAGCTCTCATGTTTCCTCTGCCCAGTGTGGCCAAAAGTGGGACACAAAAAAGGGAAGGAGTTTGGTGAGGCATCTGTGAATTGGACCGTCCCCAACACTGAATACCTGGGTTCAGGACGAGGACCGAACCCTCCTTCCTCCTTCTCCAAGACCAAGTCATCTTCCTGACCCTTCTGCTGTGGGTAAGTACTGCCCTCCACACTGGGACTTGTCCACACCCTGGCTCCCAGGGATGGGCCCCAGTGACCTCTAACCAACACTTTGTCCTTCTCTCCCTCTTCTCTCCCAGCCCATATACCTCCTATTTCTCTTTTCTCTCTTCTTCGCTCTTCCCCTTCTCTCTCTCTCCATCCCATCCCTGTCTTCCTGTCCCTTTTTCCTTGCCTCTCCCCTTCACCATACCTCCTCATCTTTCTGTCCCTCTCCTCCATTTCTCATCCTATTCATCCTGTTCTCTGTCCCTCTCCATTCCTTCACTTTCTCCTCTTTTACCTCTTTGCCTTCACCATCTATTCCTCTTTATTCTCTGCTCTTTTCCCCTCCTTTCTCTTTCTTTCTTCTTTCATCTTTACCCTCTCTTCTACTCTGTCTCTTCATACTCTCCTCCCTTCCCTTCTCCCTCACTTCATCCTTTCCCCTTCCTCTACAACCCCTCTTCTCTCTCTTCATCCTCTCTCCCTCTTCTCCTCCTCTCCCCTTTCCCCTCTCTATATCCTTTCCTCTTCTTCTATTTCCTCTCTGATCTTTCTCTCTCTCTTCCTTAATCCATATGAGAACAGCTTCATCATCTGATAGGACTAAAGCCAAGTCAGAGCAAATCATTCATTCACTCATTCATTCAAGAACTATGTATTCACTGACAGCCTCCTCTGGGCAGGGCCTATAGGAGATTCAGAGGAATAAGGTACACAGCCTCTCCTCTGCACAGAGACCGAAGATAAATCTACAAATAACTACAATACAAAATTGAGAGAGACAATGTGTCCCGGGGATTCAGAGAGTGCCTGGATGGTCCAGAGGACCATCAGAACCAGAGGAGTCTGGGAGGCTTCCTGGGGCAGGTAACACTTGAGCTGGGGCTCCAAGATTTCAATAAATAAATGTAATGGGGAGGATGTGACAATGGACTGAAAGTGGAATGATAACATGAGCCAAAGCTATAGGTGGGCATTTGAAGGACAGCATGGGTCTGTCCCCTGAGGCTATGCCGGTGACCTGGAGGAAGTAGGAGAAGTGAGTGGAAGTGACTCTGAACCCCTAAGGGGCTCTTCCCATCCTTCACTGACTGTCCCATCCTTTCCTTGCCCCCAACATATATTTTAAAAACTTTTTTCTTACCCTCAGTATTCATGGTCTCTGCTCACTTGAGGTTTTAGCCTTCCTGACATTATTCTCACAGGACTGTGCAACTCTTTTGTATCAGTTGTCCCTATATTTTTCTAGCCTTATTTTACATTTCTTCACTCTACAAGCTCTATGATGTGGTCAAACTGGCCTTCTTCCTGTTCTTCACGCAAGTGACTCTCCATCTGCTCCCCCTGTGTCTCTGCACTGGCTGTCCCCATGCCTCAATGCCCTCTTGCCTCATCACCGTTCAGTAAGCTGGTCAAGTATTTGTTAAGCACTTCCCTTGTGCCAGGCCCTGTGCTAAGTGCAATACATACAAAGACAGGCAAAAAAAAAACAAAAACAAAAACAAAAACATGGTCTCTGCTTTCAAGGAGCTCTAATGGAGGAGACACTGTACATAAAGAGAGTGTCATCTCAGAGGAAAGGTACCCACAGGAAAGGGGATAGGCTGGGGGTGAGGCCACCAGGGTAGGCCTACTAAGGACTCCCAGATTCCAGCTGAGTCTTGAAGGAAGCCAGAGATGCTAGTAGGCAGAGGTGAGGAAGGAGGGCATTTTAGACAGGAGGGATAGTTCAGAGATGGGATGTCAGGACTGAGGAAAAGCAATAAGGCCATTGTTAGTGATGGGGTTATGGGATTCACTGAACTTGGGTGATACTTGCAGGCTTTCTAGGTGGGCTACGGGGTGCCCAGGGGCCAGGGCTGTTGCCCGTTGGGTCCCACTGTAGCTGCTGCCCCTCCCTGCTCCTTCCTTTCACCAGGTGGGAGAGGGGGACTCAAATTCCCTGTCTTTCAGATCACAGAATATGTGATAGGGAGTAAAAAGTAAGAAAACTGGAAAGGTAGGAAGGGATCCAGTTGTGAAGGGCTTTAAAAGCCAGACAGAGGATTTTCTATTTGATCTTGGAGCTAATAGGAAGCCATTGGAGTTGATTGAGGAGGGAGGTGCCATGGCGAGATCTGCACGTTAGGAAAGTCACTTTGGCAGCTGCCCCCTCTTACAGGGGGCAAAACTTAACCTAACCACCATCATCTAGATCAGGGGTGGGGAACCTGCAGCCTCGAGGACCAATGTGGCCCTCTAGTTCCTCAAGTGTGGCCCAGGCCCTGAGATGAAGCCTTTGCTGACCTCTGCCTTGCCCTCCCCAAAACTGCCAGGATCCTCCCTTCAAAAGATTATCTTGTATTTATTTTGCATACCCTTATATAGGAACGTGTTGTTTCCCTTCCCGAACCCTCCCTATGTGCCTTGAAAACAGTCTTGTCTTTTTATCCTCATTGCTTAGTTCAGGGCCTGCCCGTAGGAGGCATTTGAATAAGAGCTTGTCAGTTGGTGGATGGATTCATCCTTTCACCTGAGCTTGTTTTTATTTCTTGAATGTGTCCTTTAGAAGTCTCAGTTCCCCCTCTCTTTAGATGCCTCCCCTTTTCTTCCTGGTCAGAATCATTTGTACTTTCTAGCATCTCACTGTTAGGCGTCTCCCGTTCCTTTGAGGCCGCCCCCTTCCTTTTAGGGCTCGCTTCAGGCTCTGCCATCTTGCCTACTACCCTTTTGATGAATTCTCTAGAATCTGGAGAAATCTTGGGAAGAGCACAAGAACTGGGGTGTCAAAGGACCTGGGTTTAGATCTGGGTTCTGCTACTCACTACTGGTATAACCTTGGGCAAGTTTCCCTGTCTGTAAAACAGATGACAGAGGTTAGATGACCTCTAGTCTCTTCTTCCCTTGCTCCTCTGCTGGCTTTTCCTGGCTTCCTTCAAGATTCAAGTCCAATCCCACCTTTTACAAGGAGCCTTGGACAGTTTCTTCTCTCCCCTCAGAGCTAGTACCTTTCCTCTGAGATTGCCTTGCATTTCCACACTTGTATGCACACACTTAGTTGCATGTAACCTCTCCCATTAGAATTGGCCCTTCTTGAGGGCTGGGAGCATGTTTTTGCCTTTCTTTGCATCTCAGTGCTTAGTACCTAAAAGCACATGATAAATGCATCTTGACTTGAACCTTCTAGCTCCAAATCTTTGACCCTACAAAAATCTGTCACTCATCAGACACTTTCCTCGAGGATATGGAAGAAGAGATCATAGAATCAGTATCAGAGTTGGAAGGAATATGAGAGATCATCTATTCTGACCATTTTACAGATGAAGAAACTGAAACCCAGAGAAATGAAGGTCACACATGGGCAGAATCTGGTGTCATTGAGTTTCTAACCAGGGTCTCTTGACTCCAAGCCCTGTGCCCTTCCCATTATACTATACATGATCTCTCCTCAAAAGAGGGGAGGGGGTATCACAGGACTTTGGGGTCATTTCAGCTCCACTTCCCCTGATGATTACAGCAGGAAACATTTCCTGTCCCTGTATTCCTCCCCAGAAGAGCTTCCACCTGATTCCTCTGCACAAATTCCACCCGGATCCAACCTAAGGTTCTGGGTGTTAGGACAAGAGTGAGAGGAGACATGAGCTCGGAGGACCAGCAATCTACAGATCAGGTGGGTTCACACAGGCTGCAAGAAGGGACGAGTCAGGGACAGCTAGGTGGCGTAGTGGATGGAGCACCGACCCTGAATTCAAGAGGACCTGAGTTCAAATCCAACCTCAGACACATAACACTCACTAGCTGTGTGACTCTGGGCAAGTCACTTAACCCCAACTGCCTAACCAAAAAAAAAAAAAAAAGAAGGGACAAGTTATATAGCTCACATGGGTGGGGGTAGGGCAAGGGGATGATGAGGGGAGAGAGAAAATGGGAACGATCCCAGTGAGGATGGGGGCATGGGGATGAAGCAAAGTCAATAGGTCTGTGGGAAGAAGAATGTCCCTGGGCCCATTGTGCTCTTGACCTTGACCTGTTCTGGGGCCTAGGATGCTTATGACATGTCAGATGCCCGGCTGGCTCTGACCCTGTGTAACACCAAGAACCGAGCCGGGTCAGAAACTGATGTGAAGGCCCTGGAGCAAATGTATGAGGCCTTGGGCTTTAAGAGCACAGTGAGGAGGAACCTTTCAGCTAAGGTATGGCACCATGCCCCCCCTTCCCCTTCCCCATAGGCTCTGGTGAGGGATGGGTCCAGCCCAGGGAGGGCCGGGGGTGGGGGGGCCTCGCCTTCTTTTTTCCCTTCCTCAGACCATTACATGGGTGAGTTCTGGGCGACCATACCCCCTTGAGCCTCTGGACCTGTCTCAGCCAAGGTTCCTGAACTTGAGCATTTTCTGGACAGGGTTTCTGGGAGGAGCTGGAGAAGTTCAGAAAGGACATGGACCAGATGAAAGACCCAGTAAGCTGCTGCTTCGTGGTGCTCATGGCCCATGGCGAGGAAGGCATACTGCTAGGGGTCGATGGCAACACCATTCAGTTGTCAGAACTCTTTTCTATGCTCACTAATGTGAACTGCCGGGCCCTTCGGGGCAAGCCCAAGGTGTTCATTGTACAAGCCTGCAGAGGAGGTAAGCAGAGGAAGAGGAAGAGGAAGGAAGGGGGGAGGAAGAAGAGAAGGACAAGAAGGAGGAGGAGGCAGGATCTTTCTAATCTGCTCAGCCCAGCTCGAAGCCCAGAGCCCAGGGCTTAGGGCCCAGCAAAGCAAAGAGCTCAAGAGAGCCCAACCCAGCACCCAGATCTCAGAGTCCAGTGCCCCTAGCTAAAAGTCCAGCCCCAGAACCCAGAAATCTCACAAATCTCTGAGCTCAGAACCCAACCCAGTCCAGATGCTAGAACCCAGGGAACCCACAGTCCAGCCTACATGACCCAACACAGTCCAAAGCCCAGTATTTGTTCCTACATCCTACTTTTCCTGTTCTCAGGTAACTGAGCCCTATTAGGACTGAGCTGTTCTACCTCTCTCCCTATGGGGCCTCTTTTGGAAAATCATGCCTTTACCTGTACTTTTTAGATCAGAAAGATGCTGGTGAGGTGGTTCAGCCAGCAGAGACCGGAGGGACTTTCGTCTTGTCAAATGAACACCCTCCCAAGCTCCCAACCTACACAGACACTCTGCATGTCTTCGCTACTGTGGAGGGTAGGAGCTCCCCCTCTGCTCCATGATGGTCCTTCCCCATCTTTCTTATCCATGGCCTTCCCCATTCCTCCTTCATAAACCTCCTGGGCCTCCCTGCCTTCCATCCCATAACCCCCGACAAACCGAGGATAATTCCATTGTTCCCCCCCATTTCGCCTCTTAGACCCAATAGCCTCCCTCATGCAATCCCTCCTGGGCTGGCCCCTACAGGATACTAATGATCTTCCTGGATTCCCCAGGATACATTGCCTACCGGCATGTGGAAGATGGTTCCTTTTTCATCCAGACCATGACGGATGTGTTCACAAATATGGAAGGCCACATCCTGGATCTCCTGACTGAGGTGAGAGGCAGAGGAGCCAATCAGTCCCAAAGCCCTCTTTCCTACAGGCCCTTTCCTTTGAGCCTTGAGCCTTTCAGATGAGAAATCCTGCCCCTCTGAGGCTAGGGAACATGAAAAAGAACGGGATGCTGGACAGAGGAGGAGGAGAAAGAGAAGGAGAGAAAGAAAAAAAAGGAAACAAGAAAGAACACTAGATTTGAACCTCAGATCCCAACTGGGTAACTTCTAGCTATGTGACCTTAGGCAAGTTACTTCATGTCTTTGGTCCTCAATTTACTCATCTGTAAAATGGGGGTAAAGGACTTGATGATTTCTAAGGTCCAGCTCTAGACCCTATGAATCCATAGCCCTCCCAACTCTATTCCCATCCTTGTAAGAGTTCATCCTTGTCCTCAGTTCTCACCTCTCTCCTCCCCAGACTCCCCCTCCCAGCTCCAATCTCCCTGTCCTCTCCTTCAGCTTGCTATTCCAAAAGCATCCAACCATGTCAGTCCACTGCTGAAGAATTCAATTCAACCCAATTCAATACGCGTTTATCAAGCACTGTGCTAAGAACTAAGGATACAAAAAGAGGCAAAAGACAGTCCCTGCCCTCAAGGAGCTTACGACAACATGGAGACAACATGCAAACAAATATATGCAAAGCAAACTATAGACACAATAAATAGGAATGGATTTAAAAAGGGAAGGCATTGAAATTAAGAGAAGTTAAGGAAGGCTTCCTGTAGAAAGTGGGATTTTACTTGGGACTTAGAGGAAACCAGGGAGGTCAATAGTTGGAGTGGAAGAGAGCGAGTGTTCCAGGCATGAGGGACAACCAGAGAGAATGCCCAAAGCTGAGATACGGTGCCTTGCTGGTGAAACGGCCAGGAGGCCAGTGTCACTGGATCAAAGAGTACATGTTGGGACGTAAGGTGCAATAAGACTGGACAAGTAGGAGAAGGCATCAGTGGCTCCCTTTTGCCTTTAATATAGAGCATGAGGGGCAGCTAGGTGGCACAGTGGATAGAGTGCTGGACCTGGAGTCAGGAAGTCCTGAGTTCAAATCCTACTTATAACTAGCTGTATAACTCTGGGCAAGTACTTAACTCTGTTTGCCTCAGTTTCCTCAACTGTAAAATGAACTAGAGAAGAAAATGGCATACCACTCCAGTATCTCTTCCAGGAAAACCACACGTGGGGTCACAGCAGACACAACTGAAAACAACTAAACAACAAAACAGAGCACAAATGCCTCTGTTTGGCATTTAAAATCTTTTGCAATCTGGCTCCAACCTATCTTTCAAGGCTGATTGCACATGATTTCCCTTCAAGAGCTCTTGGCTCCAAGCAGACTGTTCTATCCTACCATTCCCTGTGCTTGAGAGCCCACTCTCCACTTCTGTGTGTTCACATGGGCTGTTGTCCACGTTCTTCCTTCTGACCTCCACCTCTAGAAACTAGCTCCTTCGAAACTCTGCTCAGGCATCACCTCCTTCAAGATGCCTCTCCTGAATTCCCCAGTGGCTCATGTCCCTCGCCCAAACCACTGGGTAGCTATTATGTATTTAGATTTATATTTGAAGATGCCCTAGCCTCCCATAGTAGAATGGGAGCTCCTTGAGGGCAGGCACTATCCCATTTTTATCTTGGGATCTCTAGCAACTCCTAGCACACAATGTGTTTGTTTAATAAATGCTTGTTGGTTGACTAATTCAACCTCCTGTCCTCCTTCTATTATTTTTTTCCATACCTTCTCTTTTTTTCTTACTTCCCTTATCTCTCTTCTCCTCCTTCCCCCCCCTTTCTTCTTCTTCCTCCCTTCTTCTTCCTTCCCTTCTCTCTCTTCCTCTTTCCTCTTCCTCTCCTCTCCCCACCTCAAAAGCCAGACAAACCAGGCACCATCTTTCAGCTGATGACTTTCCCTAGCAGACTCAGGCACCTCTCTCTTCACAAACCCCAGTCTCTCCCCTACCATCTTTCCCTCCTATAAAGCAGAAGTCCCCTTCCTTGTGGCCCAAGCTATAACCACACTGAGGGGTTTAGGGGCAAAGGGGCACTGCACCCATCAGGAAGGTTGCCCTCACCCCAGCTTATGTAGACTGTGGGTGCCTCTGACTTATTCCCAGGGTCTTACTTGTACAGAGGTCCTGTCAACAGCCCTGCCAAAGGCTACTCCCCAACAAGGCCAACAGGAGAGCCTGAGGCTCACCTTGAATTGCCCTGTCCACACAGGTGACCCGGCGCATGGCTAACGCTGACCTGATGGAAGGAGGCAAGCCTAGGAAGGTGAACCCTGAGATCCAGAGCACTCTCCGAAAGCTACTGTATCTGCAATAGCGGGAGGGATCTTGGATTGAGGGGTCTTGACCTGCTGAGCCAGTGAGCTCAAGAGCCGGTGCCCACAGGCCTTGGAGAGCTGGAGAAGCTAGAATGTGCCTGTGTCCTTCACCCCCTCCATGCCCAGGTGATACACCATCCTCCTACTGCACTGGACTCATCAAGAACTTGGGCCCACATCCTATCCCTCCTACTTGCTTCACTCTCTCCACTTGTTACCTATCACTTCCCATACAGAAGGGGCCCTGAGATCTGGGGGCAATGTTCAGCTAAGGTCCTTGAGTCTCCCTTTCATAGAATCCTAGGATCCTTTCAAAGATCAGTGAGTTCATTGACACTAACCCATATCCCCACTATGTCCCACCTTAATAGGTCTTCTTGAGTCTCCCCTGTCCACTGAGAGTCACGCCTCTGCTCTTAGCTAGGCAAGTCCTGGGACAAAAGAACAACAACCCACCAGTGGGCCAGTATGCAAAGCATTTTCCTGCTTGGTAAAACCTTACAGGATGTGCACTCCACTGGCATAACCTGTAACGTCAAGGGGTCACATCAAAACTCCAAGCCATCTGTGGTTTTTAATCTGTGTGGGCTCCCCCTCTACCACCAATGCAGTCTGCAAGTTATCCTTGCCTTCATGAGTTGCCCTGGCCAAATGACAACAACAGCCACCACCACCAAGCACATCTGCTAGCCTTCTGGTGATGGGCTTCTCTGATCATAGTTGGGCTGATAATCATTGGCATATACTTAGAGACCCTCTCCAGCCTGTGGTCAACCAACACAGCCTTCAAGAACCCAAGGTCACTCTTTTGTCACAGCAAGGCATCAGAATCGCATCCATCTTCCTAAAACATGGCTCTATCAAGTCAGAACTCCCTGGTCTGGCATTCAAGGCCTTCCACAATCTGACCCCACCCTTGATCTGCCACCTTATCTTCCCCCTCCTTTCCAACACACTCCCTCTATTTCCATCAGGCTGGTCTCCTTACAGTCCCCTCCATATCACAATTTACTTCTGCCCTCTGTACCTTTGCCCACCACATTCCCTCTCCATCAGGTGGACTGGTTGCTTCCGTGTACATGCTGTATCCCCCATAGGAAAATGCACCCTCCTTAAGCACAGAGACTTTTCATTTTTTGTGTTTGTATCTCCAGTGCCTAGCACAGATCCTGGCACACAGTAGGTGCCTAATAAATGCTTGTTAAGCTGCATCGGCTATCTTCCAAGGCCCAGCTCAGGCCCCACCTCCTCAGAGCCTTCCTGGACTGCTCCAAGTAGTACATGATAATCATGCCTCTTCTGACTTAACACACAGAGTCTATCCCCACATAGCATTATGTGCTTGATTATACACCATCTTCAATGGTTTCCTTTGTGCATTCTATGAATAATAATGAAGATGATGACTCCAATTTCTAGAATAGTAATGATTTACAAAATGCTTTCATTAAAAGACAATGTTGGACCTGAAACTGAGCTGATTATCTTTCTCCCCACCCCCACCCATCCTCCAAACTTCTCTGTTACTACAAAAGGCATCGCCATCCTTCCACTCACCAAGGTTCACACCTTTGATACCATCCTCAGTCTCCTTCATCCTATACGGCCAAAAAAATCACCAAATTTCATCATTTGTACATGATAACATTTCTTATATCTGACTCCTCCCTACTCCCATAGCCACCATCTTGGTTTATGCTGTCATTACCTCTCATATGGAATATTGCAATAGTCTCCAGGTCTCTCCCCCCTCCAACATGTTCTACACCCAGCCACCAAAGTGGTCTGGTCTGACCATGTGACCCTCCCTTCCATAGGCAGATAGGTGGCACAGTGAATAAAGCAGCAGACCTCGAGTCAGAAAGACCTGAATTCAAAGACCTGCCTCTACTATGTGACCTGGGCAAGTCACTTAACCTCTGTTTGCCTCAGTTTCCTCAATTATAAAATGGGAATAATAAAAGCATCTACCTCCCAAGGTTGTTGGGAGAACCAAATAAAATAAAATTTGTAGGGGGCCGAGCCAAAATGGCAGAGGGAAAGCAGTGACTGTCCTGAGCTCTCTCCCAAAGCCCTCCAAATACCTAAAAAAATGGCTCTAAACAAATTCTAAAGCAGCAGAATCCACAAAAAGACAGAGTGAAACAAATTTCCAGCCCAAGACAGCCTGGATGGTTGATCGGAAATGTATATCATGCTGGGCGGGGAGACGAGCACAGTTGGGCGTGGGCACGAGCGCAGTTGGGTGTGGGCACGCAGGCCACAGCAACCTTGGAGCAGGCCTCAGAAAACTGAATCACGAGCAGCTGTGGTGGTTTCCAGACTTCTCAACCCCTGAACACCAAAGACAACTAAGAAGGTCAGTGGGAAAAGTCTGTAACTGAGGTGAGAGAGGAGCTAGGTCTCAGCTGCAAGTCTCGAGCGCCTCCCGGGGCCACGGCTGTTTCCTGAGCTTCCGGCCCATAGACTGAGGGAGAATCGAGTGGCTAATCAGAGGGGGATTGAAGGGATCTCTTTGCCAGGGCTGAGGCAAGAATCTCTTGCTTTACCGGTGCTTGGATCTGGGTCACAGTTCTGAGGGGCGGTCCTGGGGCAAGGAGGAGCGCTGGCGTGGTAGAGCTTGTTGTGGCAGTGGAGAGGAAACACCTCGCCCTTTATCATAGCACCTTGGAAGAACTGAAAATTTACAGGTCCCTAGAAGTACCTCTGAAAACAGCTGTACAAACCCCTGACACTTGGGACAATACACTCTTCACATTAGAAGCAGACTTTTACCTTAACAAAGAGTTTAAAACTCAAGTAATTGGCCGGGATCATGAGTAAGCAGCGCAAAAAGAGTCAGACTATATTATCTTACTTTGGTGACAAAGAAGATCAAAACATGCAAACAGAAGAAGACAGCAAAGCCAAAGCTCCTACAACCAAAGCCTCCAAGAAAAACATGAATCAGTCCCAGGCCTTGGAAGAGCTCAAAAGGGATTTTGAGAAGCAAGTAAGAGAAGTAGAGGAAAAACTGAGAGTGATGGAAGAAAATCATGAAAAACAAGTCAATAGCTTGCTAAAGGAGAACCAAAAAAATACTGAAGAAAATAACACCTTAAAAAATAGCCTATGGGCAGCTAGGTGGTGCAGTGGATAGAGCACCGGCCCTGAAGTCAGGAGGACCTGAGTTCAAATCCGGCCTCAGACCAAACACTTGACACTTACTAGCTGTGTGACCCTTGGCAAGTCACTTAACCCCCATTGCCTAAAAAAAAAAAAAGAAAAAAGAAAAAAGAAACAAAAATAGCCTGACCCAAATGGCAAAAGAGGTCCAAAAAGCCAATGAGGAGAAGAATGCCCTAAAAAGCAAAATTGGCCAAATGGAAAAGGAAGTCCAAAAGATTACTGAAGAAAATACTTCCTTAAAAATTGGAATGGAGCAATTGGAAGCTAGTGACTTTATGAGAAATCAAGATACTGTAAAACAAATCCAAAAGAATGAAAAATTAGAAAACAATGTGAAATATCTCATTGGAAAAACAACTGACCTGGAAAATAGATCCAGGAGAGAGAATTTAAAAATTATTGGACTATCTGAAAGCCATGATCAAAAAAAGAGCCTAAACATCATCTTTCAAGAAATGATCAAGGAAAACTGCCCTGATATTTTAGAACCAGAGGGCAAAATAGAAATTGAAAGAATCCACCGATCTCCTCCTGAAAGCAATCCCCAAAGGAAAACTCCTAGGAATATTGTAGCCAAATTCCAGAGTTCTCAGGTCAAGGAGAAAATATTGCAAGCAGCCAGAAAGAAACAATTCAAGTATTGTGGAAACACAATCAGGATAACACAAGATTTAACTGCTTCTACATTAAGGGACCGCAGGGCATGGAATATAATATTCTGGAGAGCAAAGGAGATAGGATTACAACCAAGAATCACCTACCCAGCAAAACTGAGTATAATCCTGCAGGGGAAAAAATGGTCATTCAGTGAAATAGAGGACTTTCAAGCATTCTTGATGAAAAGACCAGAGCTGAATAGAAAATTTGATTTTCAAATACAAGACTCAAGTGGAACATAAAGAGGTAAACAGGAAAGAGGAAATCATAAGAGACTTATTAAGGTTGAACTGTTTACATTCCTGCATGGAAAGACGATATTTATAACTCATGAGACCTTTGTCAGTATTAGGGTAGTTGGACGGGAAAAAATTATATGTATGTATATATAGATACAGATAGATAGATAGATAGAGGGCACAGGGTAAGCTGAAAATGAAGGGGTCATATCTGGAGAATAAAATTAAGGGGTGAGAGAGGAATATACTCAGAGAAGGAGAAAGGGAGAGGTAGAACGGGGTAAATTATCCCAGAATAAAAAAAAAAAACAGAAAAGAAAACGGTCTTACAGTGGAGGGGAAATGGGGAAGGTTAGAGGGAATGAATGAATCTTATTCTCATAGGATTTTACTTAAGGAGGGAATAACATATACACTCAATTGGGTGTGGAAATCTGTCTTACCCTATAGGAAAATAGGGGGGGGAAGGGGACAAGAGAGTAGGGGAATGATAGAGAGGAGGGCAGATTGGAAAAGGGAGTAATCAGAAGCAAATACTTCTGAGGAGGGACAGGGTCAAAAGAAAGAATAGAATAAATGGGGGAGTGGGATAGGATTAAGGGAAATAGAGTTAGTTCTTCACGGCATGTCTACTATGGAAGTGTTTTGCATAACTGCACATATATAACCTATATTTAGTTGCTTGCCTTATCGATGAGGGTGGGTGGGGAGGGAGGAAGGGAGAAAATTTGGAACCCAAAGTTTTAAAAACACATGTTTAAAAAAAATGTTTTCACATGCAACTGGGAAATAAGAAATACAGGAAATGGAGTACAGAAATCCATCCTGCCCTACAGGAAAATTGAAGGGGAAGGGGATAAGAGAAGGCGGGGAGAGATAGAAGGGAAGGCAGACTAGGGGAAGGGGTATTTAGAATGCATGCCATCTTGGGGTAGGGGGAGGGGTGAGATGGGGTGAAAATTAAGAACTCAAAATCTTGTGAAGAAAATGTTGAAAACAAAAAAAAATTACCATAAAAAAGAGTTAAGCACAAAAATAAAATAAAATAAAATTTGTAGAGCTCTCAGCACACTGACTGGAACTTAAATGCTTGCTTTGTTTTGCCTTTAAAGCTCTTCATAACCTGACCCCAACCTATCTTTTTGGTTTCATTACAAATTAGTGTCTTTCCTATACTCTGCAGTCCAGGTCTTTTGGCTCTTTCCTTCACCCAACAGTCCATATTGCATCTCCCTACCTTTATACTGGCTGTCTCCCATGCCTAGAATGAACTTCCTCCTCACCCCCATCTTGTACAATCCCTTATTTCCTTCAGGACTCAACTGAAACACCATTTTCTACATCAAGCCTCCCTAATACCCCTACCCATATATACTCTCCGTCCCTGTTTTCTTGTGTTTGAAGGTCTTCTATTTATTTAGTATTTGGTCTATTCTACTTATATGTGCATGTCATCTCCAAGATAGAATGGAAGTTCCTCAAGAACAGAGACTGTTTCATTCTTTGTCCTTGTATCCCCAGGGCCTGCTTCATTTGTGATCTAGATCATTCCTTTTTAGTCAACTTTGTGGCCCAGCATTCCCTGGGTCTTCCCATACTGATGCTGAACTCAGTGCAGACACCCAATGGCATTGAAAACTAGAGGCCAAATGACTCTCCTAGGCACAAACAGTTCTGCAGCCTCAGACTTTCCAGTAGCTAAAATTATACATATAGACTGCTACGTTCTTTCATACCAACCTGGACAAGCTAATCTCATCTGGTCTCCAAGCGAAGCAGGAACAGGCTTGGTCAGTACTTGGACAGGAGACTGTCTAAAGAATATCAGGTGCTCTGGGCTTTTCCCTTCCCTTTCCTTTTTTGAAAGAAAGACAGTTTGGCTAATAGATAAAGTCAGCCTTGAATCTAGGAAGAGTTGGCTTCAAGACCTCCCTCTGAGGGAAAAGGACCCATTTGTATAAAAGTCTTTATAGCAGCTCTTTTTGTGGTAGCTAAGAATTGAAAATTGAAGGGATGCCCATCATTGGCTAAACAAGCTGCAGCATATGGTTGTAATGGAATATTATTGTGCTGTAAGAAATGACAAGCAGGGGCAGCTAGGTGGCACAGTAGATAGAGCTCTGGCCTTGGAGTCAGGAGGACCTGAGTTCAAATCTCACCTCAGACACTTGAAACTTACTAGCTGTGTGACCCTGGGCAAGTCACTTAACCCCAATTGCCTCACCAAAAAAAAGAAAAAAAGAAATGACAAGCAGACAGATTTCAGAAAAACCTGGAAAGGCTTACATGAACTGATACACAGTGAAGTAAACAAAACCAGGAAAACATTGTACACAGTAACAGCAATATTGTACGATGAAGAACTGTGAATGACTTAGCTATTCTCAGCAATAAAATGATCCAAGACA